TGAAAATTCAATGATTTTTTACCTTTTTTCGTGTAACGTTAAAAGGGAGGTTTAGTCTGAACTTGGAAATACTAGGGTCTTTCTGGGAGAATTTTTCGAAGTGAAAATTATCAAGGTTTCTGTTTAAAACTTTGAATTGTTATTATTAGACTGCGGATCTTTATGCAAAATAAAATCTTCGCGAACGTTCCTACAAAAATTGTACCTAAATAGGAATTTATTTTATTCTGCAAATATTACAACACGAACTTTACTTTGAATCTTTTTCATATTCTTGCATATTGTTTGCATTTTGTAGTTTCTTGTGCATTCAAATTTCCTATAAATGCATAAAGATCCGCTGTCTAGTTATTGCCAAGTGCAGGTGTTAAAAACGTGTGGAATAAATTGCAAACAAACATGAGCCACTTTTCCAATTTTTCCGAGTTCCCTGCCGATGATCAGCCTCGGATTCTTCGCAGGAAATTGCGGTTTCCCGCTCGAGTTAAGATCTCCTTCCCACGACGAGACACGGACAATATTCCGGCGATTGTTTCGCGAAAGTTGGTCGTGGACGAAGTTGGCTATTTTTATAGGAGCACTCGGAAGCACTATTTCGCGAAGAAAGTGGCGCCTGTTTCTCCTTCTGCCGAGGCGCCCCCGTGCTAACTTATTACGAAACAATTTGCAAGTCTTATGAGAGAGGTCGAAAGCACCGAGTGCAAGAAATAAAGTGGCGGCAGAGGGGAGGGGTGGGGGAGGGGGGGAAAAGCCTTTAAAGACTTTTAATTCGAGGACGAAATGCTCGTCGGTGGTGCAATTTAAAGAAAACGCCGTCGAGATGTGATGAAACGTGCCCCGTTACTGCGTTTGCGATTGCAAAGTTGTAGGAGAATTTAAAAAATGGAGGGCATACGGAATCCAGCAGGTGCGAAGCGTGAATTCGTGTCAAAGTCGCGATAAACAATAGAAGCATTTTAGTTGCGTTCCAGTTTCCTTTCGGAGGAATTTTTCATTTTTAACGCAGGAAAAAGATTGTCTCTTGTAGGTTTATTCGGTTTAATATGGTATTATTTAAAAAAGATTTCATTTGAATGCACGTTGAAATCAATTTTGTTCACGTTTTAATAAGTTACTTCATGTACTTTTGTTTATTATATTATATTATTAATAAAAAAAGGGGAATTAAAATGAAATGCTTCATACGTTTAAAATACTTAAAGTGAGTTTACTTTAGAATAATTTATTCACATTGAACACTAAATCAAAATTTTCATCCGATTGAATTTAATTCGGTATTGAAAATGAAATTTGGTCGGCAGTTCATTGTAACATATAATCCAGTGTGTAACAATGACCGGCACAGGAAGGAACTTTCCGTAACAAGGGAACAAAGTTTCACAATTACGTAAAACATGTGAACTGAATTAAACAATTTGTATAGTCCATTATGAAACGCTGCGCCGTTATTAAAGCAAGGAATATTTAATTAACCAAGAGATTTTCGAGTTCGAGCAAAATTTAATAAACCTCGAATGGAAACAATAAATGATAATTCATTATTACGTTCAAAGATCTAACGTATTTCACCGAATTTAATTACTTAAATAATTAATTGTTTAAACAGCAATTTCATTGACACAGTTTCAATCATTGATACCGATATTTATTGTTGGAGGAATGAAATTCTTACGAGAGTGATTTATCGTATTCAACGAAAACAACTAAATAAAAATGGTCAAAGCTCCGAGAAAGCTTCTAAGCTAAGATGGACGTTCGCTTTTCATGCAATTTCGTAATTACCAAGCCATGTAAAATGAATTAAGTAAGTTTTCCAAGCCTGTTGTAAAACGTTGCGCAGTATCAGACCATAATGTTTTAATTAATCATGGCATCCCTTACTACTGAGTATTAGGAAATTTTTAATAAAACCACGCACGCGACGGGGGTATCGTACCCCACATCGACCCAGTTTTCCTGCGGCTAGCGCGTGTAAATTAGGGTGAAATTAGCCCCCTGTAGCACCGGGGACGAGTGAATCGATAAACAACCCCAGACGCGATATCGCGACGGGGGTGAATTTCCTTAATCGAGCAAACTATGGGCAACTTTGTACATTTTACTGATTACACGGATCGGGTGTCTGTTCTAGGGGCGTGGTTCGACCATTCATCCCCCTCTGGTATTGGCCATCTGTCTTTGAACGTCTAATACCCGTTGGAAGAACCTAAGTGCATGTTTACTTTAATTACAAGACACAATTTGCATATATTGAGTGGCCCTAAGGTGTACAGTGACATTTTCTCTGTCCAGACTTTATTAATATTGGGTGCTCTGGAAAGTTTAGGTTAGGTCACTCGATTGGTTAGTAGTTATTCAAAGTACCAATTGCGTAAAAATACCTTGATCTTTCAAAATATTCAACTTAATTTATACAAAGTGTTCAAGCTTTCCACATTCTCCCTGCATTAAAACTTCTCCCTCTCTATTTTCATCCACGAAATTCCACGTAGGATCGATTTATGTAAAAGAATACACGTGTTCCCGTCCAAAAAAACAAAAGGGTAGCATTGCAGATGCATCGGGTGCACTTCTCGAGAAAAATATGGCTATCCGCAGGTGCGACGGGGCAGGTTATATCGGTTTTCGAAGCGAAAGTAATATTCTACCGTCGAGAAACCTTCTTTGACGGGTTCTTGTCATTCAGAGCCGCGACGCGCTGAAAGTAGGATCCTTTTCGCCAACAAAACGCATACACGTATCCCCATTGTTAACTACAGTGCTCTGTTTTAATCACGCCGGCACTTACTCGACTCGTTTTTTATTTCTAGCTGGGGTTTTCGCGACTCACAGGGTCGACGTTACCTTTGTCCCTCGCCTACCCCTTTTTTCCCACTTCTCCTTCAACCCCTCTTTTTCCCTTCATTTTTACAAATGAGACGGAACGAAACGAAGCCATCCTTTTGTTCGCGGAAAAGTCTGAGGTAAGTCAATTTCGTCGCCCTTCGCCGTGCCATTCGCGATTATTTCTCCACCCACTTCCACATTTTTCCCCCTTCGACGTTTTCCCAACGATTTCTTCCCCGCGAAAGAGCAGACACCCTCGTTTCGTGCTCGATCAGGAGTTGGGAATTTTTTAGAAGTAGAAATAGAAAATGCAAGGATGTTTCTTGGATCGAAGAAGGATACCGAACGTCGCTAGGTTTAGTGTTAATTGGAAGACTTAAAAGATTTATTAAATGAAGACGATTCGCTCAAGTTTTAATTACATTGAATATAAATTTAAATATATTTTCAAGTCACTCGTTCTGTTTTTGGAATTGGAAATTCGGAGTTCTGGAATTTTTCCTCGTATTTTCGTCGGAAGAGTGTTAAATATCGATTCCGCGTAAACAATTTCCCCTCGTTTCGATGACAAAACAATTTATCAGTTTTTATGTACATCGGCGAATAAACTGTTCTGCAGGCTGTTAACCAATCGACGGACGAACCGGATACGGTGGATTGTTGAAAACTACCACCCCAATTTTGTCAGTTTTAATACATCCTCGATGGGGGATCGCTCCTAAACTGGAAATCAATTTTCCAGTGAGAGGGAAACCGTGTCCACATCAATAAAAAAAAAAAAAACATATACAAATGACAAAGAAAAAAACTAAAATATATAACCGAAATTTTCCCCGGTTTTTTTTTTCAAAAATATAAAAAGCCCCCCCCCCCCCCCCCAAACAGAAGAATTGAAGAAACATCATCGTTACCAAGTTATTTTATTATTTTCAATCAAAGCTTCGATCAAACCGCGAGGATTTACCAAAACGAAATAACAAAAACACCACATCTATTATTTCTTAACCCTCCCTGAACACAACCCTGCGCCGAACACAACGGTAATTAACGTCGTAAAATTCGTTCCGAGCGTGTCTCGAGGAATAATCGCGAGGGCGTTTCGCGGCTCCGTCATTAAATGGACGATTTCCCCGTAAAATAACGTTTTCCCGAGAAACACGGATCGCGGACGGAATTGCATACAGGTGAATAACGATGACGTCGGGGTGCACCGAGGCAAGAATACACGGGGAGTCGTGAAAAGGATTTGCTCGTCTCTAAAGACGTCAACCGGGGCTTGGAATTTTAAAGGGAAACGTCCGACGCGAGTACTGCTTCCACTTAACCGGCGGAAAATTATGCCAAGGGAAGCGAGCGCGTATGAAACGACGCCTCGTGTCGATTCCGGGACGCCTGGACGAGTCTTTTGTCGAAGCGGGAGATATTCGTGCATAGGGAAGAGCGTTATTATGTTCGAACGTGTTCGAACGTGAAATTCATATTCGCCATTCATAAGACGTCGCGAGTTTGGGGATCGATTGCCATTACTTACCCTCGATACATTGGTTCAATGATCAGTACCAATGTAAGAATGTATCCTGATGCTTCTACTCTTACCAGCATATTCCTTCAGAGATAAACTAGACCTAGCGTAACTGTTCAGCAACTATGTATTAGGTCTACCGGAAGATTCTGTCCGTTTATAGAATAAAACAAAATAATAAATTTCTCATACCTTCGATAAATTTGATTGAATAATATAATTTTTATCATTACTTATGACATTTTGCCAGCGTGATTGCAATTTGTATATCATTTTTAACGAATATGCGCATACACGTTGAAACTTGTTGTAATTGGAACGGACAGAACTTTCCGGTAGACCTAATATCTCATTAATTTCATACAATTTCTGTCTGAATTATCTCAATTTCATCGTACACCTTAAACGTCCCTCTAACCTTTCAACCATTAACCCTTCAATCCCCTAACTTCCACTAATATTTTTTCCTTTCTTTTGTTGGAGTCCCCGTCGACAACTGTCGATTGCCGCAGCAATTACCTCGGATAGCGACGGTGCACCCCGAGAAATCTGTCGTGAGAAACGGATTTTGTCGATAAAGGGTCGTTTCTTTTCAACCCCGTTGCAGGAACGTACAGTTCGCCGACGTTTCAGAGGGATAAGGTATCCTTACCTTCGATCTTCCCTCCACGCGTTTCTCTTGATTCAGCTGAATCCAAGCGTCCCATCGATGCCTGTAGACAGTCAGGGTATTCCATTCGTTCAGCCTCACTGTTTGCGTGCTCCTGACGGTGCCGACTCCGCTGCCGCAATCGAACCTTTGAACAAACAGGACGATTACGTCGACGTCGTTCTATCGTGTAATGCAACAAGCCTCTACAGCCGATACAATTGAAGAGGTTTAAAGGTTTTTCTCGATAAGTCGCGTGTTACTTTGTTGGTGTCCTTTTCGGTGTCTGCTCTGCGACACGTCTGCTATTTTTGGATCACTAGGAAGTATCTGGAGGAAGAGGTTATGGGTCAACGTAGGGAGCAGGAAATGATGCTCTCTATTTTGTAACATTTAAAAAATAGGGGACGCTTTTTAATCAAATTTGACGTTAACTCTTGGGGGATACCATTTTTTCGACGGAAACTAGGAGCTCGAATAATCTTCAATTTCAGTACAAAATCGTGGAGTACATTTTCTATATTTTAGTATTTTTTGAACTTCATAATATATTAAGACGATGTATTTTTTAGCCTTCCTAAATCCTGGACCATTTTTCGACTCAGGTGTAACATCAACCCTTAGGAGACACTATTGAATTTGTTGCTCGAGAACTACAACCAAGAATAACGTTCACGTTTTAAGATACACGGTCGACTTTATTCCCTGGTTTTACGAAAAAGTCCCCTGGGAGGTGCGAGCGTTCGACTGTGGTAATTCGAGGAACATAATTGCCGAGATAAATTGCGTCGAGTCGCGGCGAAAAACGGTCGCGTCAAACATGAAGTTAAAAAGCATTATCTATTAACTGTTCCGCAACGTCGACGTCAATCAGATGCGAACAGAGGGGATTAACGGACGCGACGCGAAAACGCTTGGAAATTTCGCCCACGTGAAAGAGAAATTCATCGAAACGAACGACACGATTCGACGCTGCAATTACTCCTTTATCGCGTGCCGGGATATAGATTCCGTGGATGGGGATGCTGCGCTCGGTTTCATCTCGCGATTTACTCCACTCTGACGATAAATCGACGTTTTGGGCTCGAGAGTGCGTCGAATTGGAAATTAAAGTACTCGGTAATGATTCTAGCTTTTATAGGTGATGGAGATATTTCGACTCGGATCTGTAGAATTTTTTGAAGGAAAACTAGAAACTCGAATAATTTTCAATTTTAGTACAAAGTTGTAAAGTATATTTCCCACAGTTTGACATTTTTTTTAATTAAGAAATTGATTCCATTAAGTCCCGTTTCAAAAATTTGAATTCTGTGATACTCATATTCTATCCTAACAAATTTCAATTTAAAGAATGACTGAAACCAGCAATCTACCGTAAGAGGTACGTGACTCGTGATTCGCGTGCAACTGTCTCGTTTGTCGACGCGCAACGCTGAAAGACGGTCATTAAAAAGTAATAAACGAATTAATCGTTACGTGTCCAAGGACATTAAAACGTCGAATTCCCTTTATTTCGTGCACGGTTCCACGAAAAGTATGCTCCATAAATTTTTCCACCGAAAGATCGAGTGCCAAGTCGTTGATAGTGAAAATGTCGAGGGAAGGTTAATAATTAAATTTACCCACCCGAGAATTATCCTGGTTAATTATTCTGGCCATGATTAAAGACTCCTACTAGCGTCCTGGTAAACGGGGCGTACAAGTGCCCCAAGGATCCCAGTTTATCACGTTGTCACGTAATAAAGTAATCTTCGCGTGTCATTAACCCCTTGAACTCGATTTAATTCCAGAAACTTTGTACCAGATATTCCCGTCCGCTTTTTGCAGATCATAGGTTGATATCATCTAATCCGATGCCATCTTCGTAGCTCTCTGGCTAAGTTGATAACAGCTTATGATTGCAACCCGTCTTTTATACCGTAACGTACAACTGTTTTTATCTTTTTATGTATCTACGCTCCATTTCTATTTGCGTATAATCTTGGGTACGTCATAGACATATTATTATTATCAAACTTAATCGTGGACGACGAATCAAAATTATCACAGGAAACGTTGCATTGCTTCCTTAATTTTTAATTCCAATTCCGCCACAGTTTCAGGTTTCTTGAATGCAGACTATGTACGGTTCAATCATGAATACTAATAGCATATTTTTCGACAAGAATGATTGGATATTGGATATTTTTGATTCCGAAATTCTTATAATTATAGACGTGGAATTACTGGGAGATGCAATTTAAGATACGAATATGAAATTGTGGCGAGGAAGTTTATTCTTGAAACTGTAGATAAAGAATTTAACCACGAATTAAGGATGACGGGGATGATTCAATTTCAAGTGCCGAGACAAAAATACAACGAGAAAATCTTGTAGAAATTTCAAATGAAGAATTTTATCGCAGGGTCAAAAGTCACCCTATCCTTTTCTTCGGCCTGCTGTCAAATCTGCCCCGCTTCGAGGGTTGAACCGATGAAATATAGTCTTGAAAATTCCCCTTAAAGGTTTGCTATGCTCTCCACAGTAACTCGATCAGTATACACAGTCGTTTTAATTTTCTTCTCGGGTTTATTTCAGGCCCGCGAGACTGTCTAGTGGAAAGACAGAAAGTTCCACGCGTAGGGCGCTTAGTCGCGGCGCCAAGGGTCGGACTCTAACTTGCGGTAATTATCACTGTCGGCGAGGGGCGAGGGGTAAACGACATGGTAATGAGAAATTTTAACGAGTTGTGCCGAGTGCACCGTAAATCCTGCACAGTCGAAGTACGTAATTAATAGCACACCGCTCGCGGCACGCGCGCTACTTGGAAGTTTTCAGCCGCGCAGTTGGCGAATCGAAACTTGAGACTTAATGTTTTCCGGGGGTGAGCGTGGGTGGCACGGTGCGTTTCCCATGGGAGAGCTCGAGCAACGTCTACGCGCGTTTATCGCCGCTTCTTGCGTTGATAACCGCCTTCTACTTCGGTCCTATTGTAGAGAGCGCAACTTTGGGGAATCTTCAAGACTGTAAAGAGTGTTTACTCCTCGTTGGAATATTTGAGGATTTCGTCTCACGGCGAAAGTGAGACGAAACATTGAGCTTTGAGTTTCTAGTTCAATGTATATAAATTTCATAATATTTATTTCATCTATTAGAATCATTTTCAGATTATTATTTATTGTTTCATAATTCAAAAAATATATCTGTCGAGTAAGAAAGGGAAAAGTCGCTCGTGTTCCACTCGAAAACCGTTCAGCTCAACCCGAGGTGCAATTTTTCCACGGCCGAGAAAGCCACGCAAAATAATTGAGGACTCCCCGGAGGCGTATCGTGGGATCGCGACCCTGACCTTCTTACTGGCACGCTTTTTCGCGATCTCAACCCCGGCTGCACTTGACATTTTCACGACGTCGATGTGACATGTGTGAACGGGAGAAAGTCACGTTCGTAGGCTTCGAGCTCCATTGAGAGCAAAGAATAGCCCGAATTAATCGTTTCTAGACTCGGTAAGTCCTTCGCGCGACGTGCTTGATATTCTTATTGAAGGACTGGATCGTTGGTGCAGTAAACAATTCAATTTCCAAAACAGAATATCGCATCAGAATCTAACGGTTGGGTCAAATATCGATCCATCTCAGGAGTAGAGTAAATTATAATGACGTACACGCATAGTTTGTAATGCTACCTGTGAGACAGTTGGTCGAGACAGTGAATCCTTAGATAATACTCTATTTTGGGAAGTGAACTGTGTATCGACAAACAATACAATATGAAACCAAACCACTGCCTTTATTCACCAAAGAATTCAAAAAACCCAAAATTGAACACTTTCCTGACACAAAACAGATCAATTTTCCTCCGCATCGAACCTCTCCAAATTCTCCTATCCAAGATCCTCTCATCTACCAAATATCGATAGCCGAAGAGGTCGAGAGTTAAACAGTTTCGTGGAAACACGGTGCGCGCACGTCGTTTCCTTCGAACAAAATCCTTTGGCCGGTTTCCAGAACCCAATTTCTATTTTTGTCCGGATCCCACGGCTCGCATGATATTACTTCCGTTCGAAGCGTAGCCTCGTCCCCTGTGTGTGTGTGTGTGTGTGTGTGTGTGTGTGTGTGTGTGTGTGTGT